TAATAAACCAGGAGGTCTTGTTGTGAAAAATTCTTTGAAGTCATATTTTATGTAGGTCACCAGTGGGCCTGGAGAGGGAATAATTTGTCCTAGAGGTGAGTTTTGTGTGGAATTGCCCATTTGAAATGCCAGGTACACACCAGGGAGGGCTTTTTTGGGGTGATGTTCAAGGAAGTGGCTGTGGGATAGTCACAGGGAAGGGAATGGGAGCAGGGTTTGGTGATGGCAGGAAACACCTTCCTGTTGGCCTGCTGTGGTTCCCAGTGGTTTTCAGGCTATTTTGGGGAAATTAAAAACCAACATGAACCCTCTCAGGTGTCTTCACGAGGGCAGTTTTTGCCTCATCATTTACCTGAAGCAAAAAACTTCMGTCTTCTTCTACAAATACATTCAATATGTATTCAAAAATTCATTCATATATGCATATATRCATTCATATATGTATACAAACATAYATTTTTAAGAGAGATGATAATTCAAATTAATTCAGAGCTCCAAAAATTTTTGTCTGTTGATCTCATCAGTGCCAATGATACTGTCCTCAGGCATTTTTAAAACGGATTTTTGTTGAGAGCTTTTAGAAACACAAAGAAATAGCTCTTGCTCCAGCATTAAAGCAATTCCCAGGCAGTTCTGTTCCCATCCCTTAAATCTGGGAGCACAAATCACAGTTTGTAGGTGGTTGTGGAGGCAGAGGAGATGTTTGCTGGTGTGAGCATGGGGAAGGAATGTGCCCTTGTGACCGAGGGCTCATGATGTCATTCCTGTGAGGCATTCTGGCCATGAARGAATGGGATTATGGCAGTGATTCCTGCAGCTGGAGAAGGTTTGGGATGGCACAGAAGTGAGAGCAGGGGATTATCAGTCAGTGTCTGATGGTTTGAGCACAGTGTTGGGATCCAGGGATCTGAAACAAGCTCATTCCTCCCTAATGCTKCTTTCCTATGGGAGCCAGGCCATCAAAAATGAGGGATTTCTGGAAAAAACAGCCCCTGTGTGGATCTGGCCAGACAGGCTGCTTTGGGCAGTGAAATGTTGATGGTTCTTGAGGTTTGCTACCAGCAAGGATGAAGAATCCTCTGGCAACTTGTGCAGAAAAAACATGAGGAAATTTGATGGAGCAGCAAACTGAACAGGGAGAGAGCGCTCCAGTAATGGGGATTTCACTTCATCCCTTCAGAAATGGGGATTTCACTTCATCCCTTCAGAAATGGGGATTTCACTTCATCCCTTCATGTGCCATCTCTGGGAGTCACAAAGTGGCAGTGGGATGGGATTGCAGGAATGTGCTGGGGTGGGGACTTGGCTCCTGAGGATGGGATTGTGCCCATTGTGCCCATGCCCCATTGGTTGGCAAAGCTCCCATTTGAGTTCATGTGTGCTGTGATTCCATCCCTGTGCTTCCTGGTTGGGAACTGCCCTGCCATCCCTTATCCTACATCCCATATCCCATATTCCATATTTCATATTTCATATTCCCATCCCATATCCCATATCCCCATTCCATATCTCATATCCCTTATCCATATTCCATATCCCATATCCCATATCCCATATCCCCATCCCATACTCATATCCCATATCCCATATCCCCATCCCATATCCCATACCCACATCCCATATCCCATATCCCCATCCCATATCCCAATCCCATATCCATATCCCACATCCCACACCCCATATTCCATATCCCATATCCCATACCCCATACCCACATCCCATACCCATATCCCATATTCCATATCCCATATCCCATCCCATATCCCATCCCACACCCCATATCCCATATCCCATACCCACATCCCATATCCCATATCCCATATTCCCTCTCCCACTCCACACACAGCTGCTTTTCATCCATAAAGTGTTGTCCCAGAAAATCAACCCAAACCCCATTTTCCCTGGCAGGAACCACCTCGGTGCTGGTCCCAGCAGGGGGATTTGCTTCTGCTCAGAGCAGCCCCRCTTTGATTCCTTAATTCAAACAGAAATGAAAAATCCCATGTCATCAGCCTGGCCTGTGCCAATCACAGCCAGAGCAGCTCAAGGAAATAGAAAGGATTTTATTTTTCCTTTCGTTTCAAGTTTCTTGCAGTTTGTCAGTGGAAAGATATTCCATCCTATATTTTTTTTTTCCCCTATAAGAAAAACACCAAGCAAATCTGTGTTTAATAGAGAAAGTATTTGGTATAATATGCAGAAAGTATAGAAAATGAAGAGATGTGTGTTTATTAAAAATTCTTGACGCTCTGCAGAAGGTTTACCACAAGAAATGGGGAAAGTTTCTCTTTGGAACTCTCAGTTTTCATTTGTGGTAGGAATTTGCTTGTGGGGTGGCAGAGGTATTGAAGAGAGTTTTTGGGGCACAAAACCAGAATGACTTAAACCCAATCTCTGTCATTAAAGAACTCATTACCTCAGCCCTGCTAAAAACRGAGACATTTGCTGGCGAAATCCAATCCAAGAACATCCTCAGCTGTAATTTTCTAACAGAAAATACAGGTTTAGCCCTTTGGAGATTTGACAGCAATTTCCAAGAGCGATTTTGGGGAAAAAAGCAGCTCTTTGCAGCCCCTGGATGCTCAGACTTTACCCCAGGCTGCTCCAGGCAGATGATGCTGTGGGATATTTCTGCTCCTCTGCATGGCTGGGGCAGCACAGGTTTGAAAAGCAGAGAATTTGCCCAATTTTGCAGCATCATTCCCATGGCAGATGGGCGGGTTCAGGCAGATCYTGCTGAGGTTTCAACCCTGAGCTGTGCCAGGGGCTCTCCTATCCTGGCAGTGCCTGGGTGTTGTTGGGAATGCCCGAGTGATGCTGATTTTAGGAACAGAACCTGGCACAGAGCAGGGAGGGGATGTGGAGCTGCTCAGGAGCTGAACCTGAGATCTCAGCACATCTCCAAACAGCAAAAAGGGACAGAAATCATTCCTGAAGGACTYCTCTCCTCTCTGAAACGCTGTCATTCCTGCTGGGCTCGGGAAGGACCCAGTGCTGCAGCCATCACTCTTAGAGCTGCATTTTCAGGGAGCTGCTGCTCCATGAATCAATTAAATTCTGCCACATGGAGAGCTCTGATAACCCTTTTGAGGCCAGGCAGGAAGATAATGGCACAACCCATGGAGTTTATCTCAGCACAGCAGTTCCATCCATGGCATCACTGCTGGCATCACTGCCATCCAACTCTGCTGTCCTGGGCATTTCTGGGGGGTTCCAGTGCTTTCCTGCCCAGTTCCTGTCCATGAACTGAAAAATTTTTGGGTTCTGAAATGAATTGGGTGCTTTTTCTCTGCTCCTCGTGCTGTTTTTGCTGTTGTTGTGTTGTCTGAGTGAAGAGTTGAACTGAAAAATAGGCAGCAGTTTTGAGGATCTGAAAAGAATTGTGGTTTTTTTTTCTCTCCTCCTCACACTGTTGCTGCTGTTCTTGTGTTGTCTGAGTGAGGAGTTGATGAACTGAA